ACGTTGTACAGTTGCTGTTATGTTAAATTTATATTAAAGTTTTTCTTCATTACCCATTCAAGCCGTCTCCAGCCATCATTGTATGTGATGTTGAGAAAAATTAGTGTATCTTGCTTGCTCATAATTTCACAGGTGTCCTTTGTGAGACAATAACTCATTTTGAAAGTTGATCACTTTAGTTCTTTTTATGCTAGATTTAACTGTGCTTCAATACAGAGTTGAAATTTTCAAACAGTCAAGTACTGTATGAAATATCTGCGTATAACGCATCTATCGCGTCAGTTGTTGGCTGACGTAGTAATATATATTGTTACGCCTCCAGTCGTTAGTTAATTTTCCGCAAATTCTTTCCGACTAAACTTTAGCGACACAAGTCCTTTCTTAAATAAAACTGGTTTATTCTTTCCGAATACAACTTTACGATGCACTTAATTTCAACAGTCGCTCTATAACAAACGCTATAAATCACGTCTCACAATATTCTCCGCATACATTCAATTACTCATTACCTGACTGTTGTTCCGTCACGTTATATATATACCGTCTTATATATACCAGACTTCCCCCAATCTAGTAGTCTCCCGATAATTCACGAAGGTTCGAGAAGGACGTGGCGTGATACTAGTCACGTGACCTCGCTGACGCAACAATATGTTTTGTTTTTAATAAATTTTATATGACTAGCCATGGTAGCTACAGGCTATAAATTGGATGCTTACGATTAATACTTTTACTTAGAAAAGAAATAAATATTTCTATGTTATTCTGTAAGTTATTTCATTTTTAATATTTTTATATATTGAATTAGTTAAAGATTTCAAGCGTAGTAAATGAAATAGTTCGTCATTAATCCTCAGTCTAGTCAGTGTATCCAAACATTTTTGCTTGCGGACCACTTGAATTTTTATTTTATTTTTTTCATGGTGGGTGACTTGCTGACCACATAATAAAAGTATGATATGACGAAATAAAATAAGCGCTTAAATTTATCTTTCTACTGTTTAATAAGATGGGTGCACCTGCTTTTTTGTGCAATGTTCTGTTATATTGGGTGTAATGTTCGTCAGCTTTAGCCTCAGGTCTGGTTCAACATTCATCTGTCTCTGTATTTGGACTTTGAGGGTCGCAAGTGATGAAAATTGCGTATTAGTAAACAGCATCAGAAAATGAACTGCTTTGTTTGCCAGTACTGGGTGTTCTCCAGTTCTCTGAATCCAAAACTATAATAGTGGATTTATTTAACATTTTGATCTTAATCTACTGTCGTAAGAAAGCTCTAACAAGCGCTTTTCTTTTGTATAGAAACCAGGAGGCAGTTTTTTGTTTTTTTTAACAATGCCGGAAAACTCCCAAATGTAAAATATATTTCCCCTACTTTAACCCCAAAACCATATATAATAGAGTTTCAGACGTTTCTACTTAACTTATGAATATTCTTCTTGCTCATATAGTTGAACATTTAAGGTAGAAAGTGTTGGGTTTGCTCCAGGATCTACAAACTCTTACTTTTTGTAATTATAAAACCTTTCCCCAAATCACCTGAACGGATCTCTCGGACCACCAGTGATCAGGGAATCATAGTGTAGGAATTTCCGATCTAGAGCTTAAAATTAAAGTTACCAAATAATTTATAAGTGCCAATAATAATTAAAAGCAACACAATAATAATAATTATCGTTATTAATCTTTTTTCAGAAATTTCATAAAATAAACATTTTGATTTGCTATCTATAATTATTATTACGTTATCAGTGAGCCCTAGGGCACTAATTTTTTTATAATTAAAAAAGAAAATCTTCTTTAATCATAAAAAAAATATGTGTATGAATGAAATACACCAATGAACTTGTATCCCTCGCTGGGGCAACGGTAAATCTAAGGACTTACAACGCTAAAATCAGGGGTTCGATCTCCCTCAGTAAGCACAACAGATTGCCCGATGTGGCCTTGTTATAAGAAAAACACACGCGCACACACACACACACACATCCATCGAACATAGTTTCATGTGGATTAGTTGTGTAACATACATAGTGGTAGATAATATGTATATATTGTTAACAGCGAAGGTTTCCAACTCATGAGACAATGCATTTTTATCTTTATAAGCTAGAATAAGAACAATCTATTTATTTAGCTGTGCTAATTACCGAGCTGGTTTTTATTTTTTAATCTAAATAACTTGTTTTGATGGTAGGTTAATAATTATATCTGATGTTAAGACACAATGCTAGACTCTGGTCTCATTTTTTTTTCAAACTAAAGCATTTTGCTTTTTTATATCTTATTTAACGATTAAAGAGTGAATTTTATATAATGATTTATTGGACAATTTTTTACACACCGTGTTTAACCAGGAGTACTTCAATGCAATTTTTCATCTGCTTTTTTTGTATTACCATACTTGCATGTCATTACACTTTTATAATTCACTTAGTAAATTTACTTATAATTGTGTATGGTTTTTTAAAAACCTCATTTAATGTTGTTTTATTATTATTATTTTTGGTGTATAACAGTCATAATGATTATCAATGTTTACTTAATAAAGTGCTCTTGTGCATGAAGATGCGCAAATCTTTAATATTCTCATATATTCGCCTAATAACAAACAACTTTCATACGTTTTGGTAAGAACTGAATCTGAAAGAACTACGTTACACATAATATATTTCATTATTTTTCGACATTAATAAACATAGATGTAATTTTCACGGGAATGTGGGTGAAATGTCATCTTTACTTTTTCAAGAATAAAATATCTTTTTTGATAAAATACCCTAATGCATACCTCAGATACAGAAACTAACCCCTTCCTCCCAAGACACATAAACATTTCAATTCAAAGCTATGCCACTGGTAATAAGTGTTCTAACTCTGGAATTCGTAATTGACTTATTTCCCTGAAAGGGGACCGAAGGCCGTCTGGAGGGGGTCACCTGTTTTAACCATTCGCACCTCTGTACAATAACGTTTTTTCTGTCAGTCAGACATCACATAAGGGGACGCTTAACGTTGCAATTTGTACTGTCATGACGTCAATAAAGCGTGCGCATGCCATGAATCACTAGAAGAATTATGCACTTTGTAGGCTGCAACATAGCATGACATACAAATTTCAAAAGTAAGAAACAAAAATATTTGTCACGCTTAATTTTGGTTTTATTTACTTTTGAATCAAAACACTTTCGGGGATACTGCGGAACTATATCTAGTATAGTGAATATTTTTGTTATAGTAAAACTCCTCATAATTTAGATGGTGTTAAGAGCTTAGTAAATATATATGGCATTTTGATCGTTAATGATGACGAAAACGCTGAATTAATTTTTCTATTGTTATAACTTTTCTCAAAGTTACCTTGATGATTAGTACCATAACACGCTTTCTTTTTTACACATGTCAGTAGTAAGTCACCGGATTTCTAACGATAAAATGTTGGATTCAATTCCACGCGATAGGCAGAACATAGTTATCCCATTGCGTAGTTTAGCGCTAAAAAGACCCAACATCAAGTTACATATTTAAATAAAAGTCCAGAGATACAGTTTTCGAGTGGAAAATTTTGCGCGGGTATTTTGATTCAATTTAGAAAACATATAGAGAGACACCCGTGTTTGGATTTAAATTAGGTTTTAGTTCACCAATAATCAACACTTCTTTTTTATTCGTCTAGTTGTTCTCATTATATAATAGTTTAAAGTTGCTAATGGTAACTGAATGTTGATTCCTTGTGCTATGTTCGTAAATGTGTGATGGGGAATTGTTATGTTCTTTGATCCTAATGTGTATGTTGCATCCCGTTTC